GCTTACATGCTTTCTTGAAAGTAATTGTTAATAAGATAATTATAAAGAAGGAAAAGAAAAGAAAACCAAACTCCACAATATAAATGAACAAAAAAGAATATAAATGTAGCATTGCATGGAACACAATGTGCATGCATGAAACACAATGTAAATGAATGATAAAAATATTAATAATTTAAAAATTACAGGTTTTTTTTAAAGTAACTGAAAAAAGAAGATTACCCAACTTTGTCCCATAAAGCAGCTGGTAAATGTAAACCTATGACCTTTCAAATAGCACTCACATGCTTCACAAGCAGAACACACAAGGAGATACTGACTAAGATAAATCACATCTTAGATCATACAATAAGCCTTAACATATTTTGAACTGCTGAAATCATCCAAAGCATGTTCTCAGACCATAGACGAATGATACTGGAACTTGTTTACGGAAAAGTGACGGGAAAACTTTTTAATCCTTTAGAATTGAAAAACAAGGCATTTCTAAAACAATAGTACATGCTTAGGAGATCAGTTTCAAGATTACATTCCAACCCTGCCACCTAGTTTTACTGGGTAGAATGGGGTCCTACATCTCCTTTTCAAAGGGTTAACTAAGATACAGGTCAGCCATGATGTTATTTTTTTTGGCACTTAAGGGTGCCTGAACTCATATACATTCTTCACATTCTGTACTAATCAGTTAACTTTGTCTTTGAGCATTTCTGTTTTCCCCTAAGTGGCCCCCCAGCAGCTGGTTTCACTTAGTTTCTCAAGAATGTGGAAAAACACTGCTCATCACAAAGGGCTAATATATTTTGAACAAATTATGCAAGGAAGGAGTGGGAGCAGAAGAAACTTCTGCAATGCACGATCCCCTCTTCCCATAAGAAGTGATGTCTCCTAACCTATGAAGCCTCTCGAACAGATTGCTTCTTGGAGAATCAGCATTTAATTATCAAAGCCTGCTTATGTTGTTCATTTCTCAGAATATCTGATCTTCCTTTATGAATAAACACGAAGCCTGTGCCCTTCAAAATCCATCTATAAATGGCAGAGTTTGGTTTTTTTTGTTTTGGGTTTTTTTTTCTAGAATAGTTATGGTATATGTTGGCCTTGCATGTCTAGAAGCTTTTATTAAAACTTGGCTTGTAAACAAAAATTCCAACCAACCAACCAAACAAACAAACAAAAAACCTTGGCTTGGGTGAAAACTTCTAGGCTTCCATTTGGTCATCCTTGGTGACTTTAATAATAAAATGTCCCTTGAGAGTGATATTAGTTTACTTTTTGCAGTCCAAAATTAACCAAACAAGATCCAATCAAGATGTATGAATAATTATTGGTGACTGCAACACAAAGTTGGAAGCAATGAGGAAGGAATGGCAATAGAAAATATGAACTTGGTGACACAAATGAGGCTGGAGATCAAATGATCAGGTTTCTGGATCTCAATGACTTGTT